CTACGCCGAAGCACGGGAACGGGCAGAAGTATATCCTCGTTTGACATAATAAGTACACATATATCCCCCGTCCGAAGCATGGAGCCAAATTAAAGATAAAAAATTATGCTTTTCTGACATTTGAAAGGGGCAATACTATCCTAGTTCATTGGACGTTGGTTTAAATTTATATCTTAATACTTAGATACAAAAAATCTATCTAAGTCTAAGTCTATCTCCCATTTTATCTACTGTGGATATTATATCCACCGGTGTGCCCATGCACGAAGGGTGGATAAAACTAAGCGAGGGGATAAACATTTTCTCCTTTCCCCGGTGATGAAATTGTCTCTTGCCCATGCTAGCCCTGCTGGTGTTTTTTTAAGGGAATATTAGTAATGCTTAGCATTATCTATACAAATAAATAAAATTGAAGTGTCTGTTTGTAATGTCAAAATAACAGCTTTTTACTAAATGCATATGAAAGTATATACGGTACTTATAACAAACTTGGCTACTTTTGTTGTAGAAAAAGACACGCGGTTGAAGTCGCGGGGAGCAGGCAGGAATAAAGTAATGTTCCATGTTAATTTTATTTAACTGTAGCAATGTTAAGTCACTTTGCCTTAAAGCCTTACGTACGTATACATTTTTATATATGTGTGCATCTATGTAAATCTGTAAAACATGCAGTGTCTATTTTACATCTGCCAGCCTAGTGGTGTACGTACGTACTACGCTCATTAATAAAGTTATATACTGTACGTAATAAAATAGATATCTTTACTTGACCTCAGTATAAGAAAGTCAATGATTAAATGTTTTTTTTATCGAAAAACTAAGATAGTTGCCTTTAATGTACCTACGTTACTTACGTGGTAACATTATTTTTAATCTGTGTTACGTTACTTCCGTTCCGCCCGAAAAAAGATCAGAGACTTGAATCTTTCTTTTCATATTCTGAATTACCCTCAAGTCGCGCCCTAAGAAGTTAAACATAAGTAAAACTTAAGTTGAGAATATATTGATTAATATATTGCGACATAATATTGCGGCTTAAATGTGTGACGTCATTTAGCGAACCGCCTAGTCACATAGCCTTTATAAGTAAGTTATTAGCACCAGTCTCCGATATGTTATGTATCCGATAGGTATGTATGTATAAATAGCAGAATAGTTCGTTCGTACAACTTGATTATCGTAGTATTTTTGTATCGTCATCTTGTCTATATCCTTGGAGTGATTATGTGGTCATTATATTAAAAAAAAAAAACTAAGTGACGTCATCGGTGAACGAGTGAGTAATCCTGTGTTGCCCGCGGTTTCATAACGCCGTGTCGCTATTAGTTTAGTTTGTTGCCGTATCTCCGAAGGCAATTATTGTTAGTTGTATAGATATTTAATGTCGACTGCATTGTAAAGGCTGATTTTGTATTGTTAATTTTATTGTTTTTATTTTTAATCAAAGGTGAGTGGAAACTTCCTTAACGGCCTGTATTTTTCTGCCGACTTCCAAAAAGGAGACGGTACTCAATTCGACTGTATGTTTTTTTTTGTGTTACCTCATAACTTTGTACTGGGTGAACCGATTTTGATGATTCTTTTTTTATATGAAAGCTGATAGTTCTCGTGTGGTCCCATATGAATTTTATCAAGGTCAGACCAATGGTTATTGATTATTGAGTTATTCTTAAATAACTTACATTGAAGTCGGCAGTACAAATTTTTTAATTTTAAATTATAATTATTATTTTTCTTTAATGTGCTATTCAATGTTTTTAATTGTGTTGTGAATTCTTAAGTAGATTTTTTCTTAATTTTAATGAAAACATAATTGTGTTTTGTTAATGTTTTAAAAGCTTAATAAACCAACGGATTTTATTTGGCTATTTGAGTTTTGACGATTATTAAATAATTAATAGAATTTGTTTATCAACTTTGAAAAATTATGTAAACCTTATTCTGGTTCGCCTCTTTATGGCGTAGATGTAAAAATAGCATTAGAAGTAATGCTTCTGAAAATCTTGAGCATTATATTGTGTAATGTATTCACTTAATTCGTTAAGTACATAGATTACGGGGGTAATCTGTGGTTAAGTATGAACAAATTGTATAATAATATATATATAAAGAAAAAGACACAAAGACATCGTGGTACACCTTCACGAGTAGTTGTGGAATGATCTATAGCTATCAGAATTAAAACAATGGAAACAATTTAATTAACTTTTAACTACGTTTTTCCTTTAAATATTAACATTCTGGTCATGTATCGTCTATTATCTTACAGAGGAAGTAATTAAATAATGACTAATTTGTCTGTATATGAAATTACTGGTGCAAGTGGTAACTGGTAACATTATAATATGTTACAATATTTCTATTCTAGGATTAAAAACTAAATTTGTAGGTTACCGGGGCACGCAGTTAATTGTATTAATAAACAGTTTATGTCTATATAAATAAAATGATAAGATGTTTGCAGTTGTGCGCGCATCACGGAAAAACTACTGGATAGATTTCAATTAGGTTTTCTGTTTTATTCCTTAGACACTTGGCCCTTATCTAAAAAAAAATATTGCGATATAGTTTTAAGGAACAACAATTTTTATACGGGGTTTTCCACACGGTCAACTCTGTACGGCGCTTGCTCTCGCGTTACTAACCCAGATTAACTTTAGATATATTTTAGCTACACACGGGGCAACGACTAACATTGTCTACCGACTTCAATATAAGTTATTAAGAATAACTCAAAAACTATTGGTCTGACCTTGATCAAATTCACATGGGACCACACGAGAAGTACCAGCTTTCAAATAAAAAAAGAATCATCGAAATCGGTTCAAACAGTAAAGAGTTATGAGGTAACACACATAAAAAACAGTCGAATTGAGTACCGTCTCCTTTTTGGAAGGCGCCAGAAAAGGAGGAGGTACTCAATTCAACTGTGTTTTTTTTTAATATGTGTGTTACTTCATAACTTTTTTCTGGGTGAACCGATTTCAATGATTCTTTTTTTACTTGAAAGATTGTGCTTCACATGTCGTCACATATAAATGTGATCAAGGTCTGACCAATAGTTTTTGAGTTATTCTTAATTATTTACGAAAGAATTTTGTCTTTTTGGTGTTTTTTCCTTCGCACATACGAAAACTTTGTTACTATGTATGTATATCATCAAGCAACGCGGACGAAGTCGCGGGTATCAGCTAGTAACGAAATATAATGATAAAATAATTATTATAATAAACCTACATTAATATATTTAACATGATTTAAATATATTAAAATAACAGATTTTAGCCGTTTCGATGTAGGTACTGAATTCTTAAAATAAAAAATGTTGTTGCTAAGTACAAAATATCACAATAACTTATTAATAACTTTGAATCAAGAGTAAATAGACATTTTCTAAAGACCATCTGTGTGATGACAGGACGTCAGTGAATCCATTATCCCATGTCCTTTGGGCGTCCTAAAAAGAGACATTGGGATATACCAGAAAAATATTAGCGATATGTCTGTATTAATCATCATATTCACACCGCAAAAAAAATGAATGAAGAAAGAGTGACAAAGCAAATTTGTGCTGCAAAAGTCAAATTAAGAGTACTCTTAACCGACGGGCATGCGTATATGGAGTGAAAGAAGCTAGAGAGGTGTGTTAGGATTAGGGTTGCCAGGTGGTTGGGATTCTCCCGACATTTTAAATGATCTCCAGACTCCCGACAAAACTCAAAATCTCCAGACAAACAGCTTTTCTTCACATCATAACTGCCTTTGATTTAATAAAAGCTGAGTTAGTTTTTTAGAACTAACTATAAAATAAATTATTTTCTGAATATTTTTACTAAAGGATCCAAATTGGTGAACTCGGTAAGTCCAATGTCAAATACTCGTGGTAACCTAAAAATTAAGTGTACTTAAATTAGTTTATTCATTTGCTAAATAAATAAATAATTTAACTATTATGTATCAACAATGTTGTCTTTTTGTAAGCTATAAAATTCAAAAAATACTTTTTATTTTAAATAGATTTTTATTTTTAATGTTTTTATTTCTCCCGACAACAACCCCACAATCCCGACATATTAAAATTTTGCCGAGATATTTTGGTCTTCCGATCTGGCATTCCTAGTCAGGATCGTGTCAAACGGGGAAGTAGTCTCTGCCCATCGCTCTGGGTAACAGGCGTGAAAGTTTATGCTTATGTTAATGATAATCCACCTGCCAAACGTCAGGATTAAGACGAATTAAACGACATTTTCTAAAGTCGGTAAACCACTGTTTAACCAGACGTGAAGTACAATCGACCTTGCTTCACATTGCGTTCAATTAACATGTTATTGGTTATTGGAAATTGATACGCTGGCGATCATATTACAAAAGCTATAATAATATCTGTGGAATAAAAGTTATATTAATATTTTTTTTAGTCACCGATGTTTCGAGCTCTTTGAAACAGCCATAGTCAAGGGGTAACTGAGTTGTTTGACGCTTTGATGTCATATTTAAGGAAGGATACCTTCAAATTTTAAATATTAACTTTGCAGGCTTCGCACTCTGGGGTCAGATTTTGTCTCAAAATTTACTTGCATACGACGAGACCACTCCTGCAGTATATCATCCTATTTAATAAATAACTTAAATTGAAAAGTTTAAAATTCCCCGAAATGAGCTGATGATTATTCAAACGATTGAATAGATTTTCTTGAATCATAGCTAAGAACACTCGATCAAGTCATCTTTCAAACAACAACAAAAAAACTAATTCTAAATCAGTTTATCCGTTTGGGAGCTACGGTGCCACAGGCAAGAAACACAGATACACATAATACCCCTCTGCTCGCGTCGGTGGTTATAAGAGTAACTAAAATCGATTATTGGTATCGGTTAAAAAAACGATACATTCGCATTACACAAAAATGCCACACAAACAGCGTACACGGCACGCACACGTGCTGCACACGTCTTTGGTGTACCGAATCAACAAAATAAAACTGTCTCTCGTTCCGCAGACAAAATGTCGATTCACATCAAGGACTCCGAGGACCTGAAGAACAAGTTGGCCGAGGCCGGCGATAAGCTGGTGGTGATCGACTTCATGGCCACCTGGTGTGGGCCCTGCAAGATGATCGGGCCCAAGCTAGATGAGATGGCCAACGAGATGGCCGACTCTATCGTCGTACTGAAGGTCAGTGAACTTTTTTATATATAAAACTAGAGATACTTATAGTAAGTGGCTGCTGTAGTCCATCGATACTTTTTTTAATATGATAAGAGTGACAAACAAGCACACAGTCCACCTGATGGTAAGTGGTTGCTGTGGCCCATAGACAAAACGAGACATTTCATCTTAGCCCTCAACGGTGACAACGCATCTGCATTTTGATTCTTAATCGAGCATAGAGATGTAGATGTCTATGAGCCACAGCAACCAATTACCAACAGGTAGACTGTGCGCTCGTTTGTCACCCTTATTCTATAAAAACAAATACTAGTAAAGCTACATAACATTACTAACAATCCATTCTCTACACTCACCATACGAAACACAGCAGCAATAAGCTGCTATTTTTCGTTTCGTTTATATTCTATGAGAGCGTGGTCCTACTCTGGTCGAGCCGACCCATTCGTGCTACAACTATACTATTAATATGGCTCTAGCACGTATAAAATATTCTTTAAAAAAAACCTACATGCCAACCTAAACTATGAACTACATAGAGTTCGCCGTAGTCGATTAATTAATTACACAGTACATAAAATGAACACTGTCAGTCACCCGCGTCGGCCTTGTCCTTGGCATGACCTATGATAAGGTTGGAGTTAATTAAAAAAAAATGCTTTATTATATTTAGGACCGATTATTCCATTGTCAGATATAGTTTGTTCGTAGGTTAAAATAAAACATAAACAAATTAAAAATTATAGTTGTGAATAATATTTGACGGCTCCGTGGCGCAGTGGCTTAGCAATGAGTTGCAGCGCTGGGGTCGCGGGTTCGAACCCCGCACGAAACAAGTATTTGTATGGCCTACAGATAATTGTTCCGGGTCTGGATGTTTGTCCTTGTGCATTTTATGTTTGTAAACTGCCCCCACGATAGAGAAGAAAAGCCTAGTGTGGAGGTTACGTATTTTAAAGACAAAAAAAAATAATTTAAAAAATACATGTAGGTTCAATTGTCAGTCATGTATCATTACCTAGTTTACCTAGTTAATATAGTTTGCAGGATAACTTTATTAGAAATTGAAAATTTTCTTTTACTCAAATACTAAACATTGAATAAATAATTTTTACGGCCTATGGGAGAGGCCGGCCGTTGATTTTAGATAGGCTGTAACGGTAATAATATGACGGTAGCGCGGCTGCTGAGCGTTTGACTGCGACGCTGCGGGTTCGAATCCCACACGAAACAAATGTGTTTGCATTATCATCATCATTACAGCCCTTCACAAGTTAACTTCTGAACATAGATATACGCAGGAAGTTGATGAATGCAAGTGGCTCAGGACCGTGCTTTGTGGTATTCCTTGGGGGAGGCCTATGTTCAGCAGTGGACTTGCATGGTCTACAAATGATTGATCGAGGTCTGGCTGTTTACCTATGTATTTGGAGCGCCTTCACGATACAGGAGAAAACCGTGCGTAGGTGTCTAAAATATTTTAACCGATTTCAAAAAGGATGAGTTACTCAATTCGACTGTGTTTTTTTGTGTGTGTGTATCCTCATACCTCATAACTTTTTTCTAGGTTACCAGATTTTGATGATTCTTTTTTTATTTGAAAGCTTCTCATGTGGTCCCATATAACGTTTTACGTGGTAGAGCCATGCTGCAGCTATATTAGTAGTATAGTTGTAACACGAATGTGTCGACTCGACCGGGGAAGGACCACGCTCTCACAGAATACCAGCGTCAAATAGCAGCTTGCTGCTGTGTTTCGTATGGTGAGTGTAGAGAACCGGAGACCCTTTTTACTGGAAAAGAGGCATTCTATCTTAGTCCTCACGGATGACATCACATCTGCATTTTGATTCGCAAACGAGGATAAATGTAGATGTCTATGGGCCACAGCAACCACTTACCATCAGGTGGACTGTGTGTTCGTTTGTCACCCTATCCTATAAAAAAAATATAAATTTGATCAAAGTCAGACCAATAGTTTTTGAGTTATCCTTAATAATTTATATTGAAGTCGGTTGTACAACATTTCCAATTTTGCCACTGCGTTAATGGAAGCAGTCCAGGTTCCAGTATCGAAGCCACGAGGACAATCACACAGACCCTGGCGATTAATTACTACTGCACTGAGCAAGGGTGACAAAAGAGCACACAGTCCACCTGATTGTAAATGGATGCTGTGGCCCATAGACATCCACGTTTATCTTAAATTAATAATCAAAATGCAGATGCGTTGTAACCTCAGAGGACTAAGATGGAATGCCTCGTTTCCAGTTAATAGGGTGTCCGGTTCTCTACACTCTCCATACGAAACACAGCAGCATTAATCTGCTATTTTACGCTGGTATTATGTGACAGCGCGGGGCACCAGTCGAGCCGCCTCATTCGTGCTACAACCATTATATATAGCTACTGAATGACTACCGCAGGTAAACGATTTCCATTAGAGTTACACAATCGCACTTCCAGATCTTAGCATCTAGCTCCAGATGTAGATATTACCTAGGTGGCGTAAGAATAGATTTTTTTTATACGTAGTAGAGCCACGCTGCAGCTATATTAGTAGTATAGTTGTAACACGAATGGGTCGGCTCGACCGGGGAAGAACCACGCTCTCACAGAATACCAGCGTAAAATGGCAGCTTGACACTGCTGTGTTTCGTATGGTGAGTGTGAGAACCGGAGACCCATTTTACTGGAAAAGAGGCATTTCATCTTAGCCCTCAGCGGTGAGAACGCATCTGCATTTTGATTCTTTATTGAGGATAAATGTAGATGTTTATAGGACACAGCAACCACTTACCATCAGGTGGACTGTGTGCTCGTTTGTCACCTTATCCTATAAAAAAAAACTTTATCTCCACGGACTTTCATGTAAGAAAAGTGATGGTAGGTTGTCCCGTCATGGTTCTTGAATGTTTTCATGAATGTCATCCGAAGAGCTCTTGTCTCTATAAATATTTATGCAATATTAGAAATTAAAATTAATATGAAACAGCAGCATCTTCCTGGTTTTCATGATTTCTCAAAATAACTGCGATTGACTTTCGACAGGCTGCAATGACGGATGATGGTGGTGATGATCTAGGTTCGCTAACTTTCAAGATGCATTCGCAAATATATTTAAATCGTGAATCATTCAACGTGAAAACTAATGTGATTTGATACAGCCACTTGTTTCGGCGCTGGGTTTTTTCGAGAGCGGTTAGTCACAGCTATTTTGGGGACATCCAGGCAAAATATATTAGCACTAGATTATTTTAAAACCCAAAATAGTGCTGCAATGCCAGATGTATTGCGAAGTGAATTTGATGAATTTATATAATAAAGTTGTTAATGACAATCATTGATGAACCCTCTCAGAAATGAGAAGGCCTGTGCCCCAATAGTGGTACATATGATAGCTCCAACCACTATTTACTTAATGCACATTTATGTAAATCTGAAACCGCAAGAGGAAAAGTATAAAATTATAAATTACATTTACCACGTGCTCGGCGGTGAAGTCTTCTTCATCGTGAGGAAACCTGCATGTTTGAGAAATAAGAAAAAAATATTTCGAAGACATGTGAAGTTCTCCAACACGCATTGGGGCAGCGTGGCGTACATTTGTCCTAAAACCCCCTCAGAAGTGAGAGGCCTGTGCCCGATGTATATGGGCTGCAACTTTAACTTTTTAACTTTAAAGTCTATATCTATACAAATAAATTTAAAAAAATTGAAGTGTCTGTTTGTAATGTCAAAATAACAGCGTTTTACTAATTGCATATGAAAGTATATACGGTACTTATAACAAAAACACAATTTCTAAGATTTTTGTCTGTCTGTTTCTTCCGGCTAATCTCCGAAACGGCTGGACCGATTTTGACGGGACTTTCACTGGTAGATAGCTCAAGTTATAAGAAGTAACTTAGACTGCTTATATTTTAGAAAAATAATTAGGGTTCCGTGCAAGAAAATTAAAACCCTAAACGAAACAGCTAGTTATAAATAATTCTTATTGAAAGTCATTTTTACCTTTACCACTGATTCGTAAAAACTTTTGTCCTGAGATAAACTAGTAAGAAACAACGGAATTTTTTTCCATATCAAAATTAAAATTATACAACAAGAAAAAATAGGTTATACAATTACCTACTTACAAATATGCGTGCACTGGAGCACCGCGCTGGACTAATTAATTGCTCTATAGGTTTATTTCTACAGGCTCATGAGGCGTGTGCCCAACAGTAGAACGTGTACAGTATAGTTTGCAACTTTATTTTTATTATAACGATGAAAAGTAGCAATGTTCTTTTTAACCGACTTCAAAAAGGTGGAGGTTCTCAATGCGAGTGTTTTTTTTTTGTATTTATGTTACGCGATATCTTCGCTGATTGTGAATATTTTTTTTATTTATTAAATCTGTTATATTTCAAGGTTGATCCCATATAAATAACTTATTTTTTTAGCAAATAGAAGTCTGTTTTTTTTTGTTTTTTGGTAAAAGTTATAATTATTTTTTGTTCTTTATAGATGATCTTACGATATTTTCGTTGTTTCGATGTTCACCACTGAACACGTGGTAAATCAGTTATTGTGGTTTGTGGTTTAGGGGCTAAACACTCGCCGTATGTTTCAAAGAACGTGAGCAACTGGGCTCGATGCTCACCGAAATTCTCTCAATAAAATTGTTGATTGCAATTTTGAGTACATTCGTTTAAGATTTAAATTTATAAAAATGTTCACAAGTTTCAAATCTCTAACTCATCGAGAAGTTAGTTTGAAATCGATTGCTAAATTTTTGTCGTATAGGCAAACAAACAAACAGACATACAAGACAGTAAGTAAGTTTATATTGCATTGTCATCCAATTCTGAGCTATATTTTAAAGTTAAGTCTTTAGCTCATCGAGAAGTTAGTTTAAAAACGATTGCTAAATAAATTTGTATCGAACATACAAACAAACAGACAGACAAGAAGGTGAGTTTATATTGAATTGTCTGCCAGCTCTGAGCTATTTCAGTTTAAATTTATAGCTCATCGGGAAGTTAGCTTAAAATCAATTGCAATATTTTTGTACCGAACAGATACGGAGTGTCAATAAAATTAAAAACGTGGTAAAATAAAATATGCCAAAGGAACCACAGATAATATTCAATTTATCAAACATGCAAACCATATTTGATATACTTATCAGAAACAATAACAAAATAACATGGTCACGGTTACCAACGAAAATAAATACAATAGTTAATTTTCATCTAATTTCGTTTCTATGTCGGCATCCAAACACAAAGGTGGAAAGTTTTAGGCAGGGGCCGCCTCCACGAGCGAGGGAATCGCGGCGATATTATCGTCGTGCCACGTATTTCTGTACACTCTACACACGGCGATGTTATCGCGGTGATGCGACGAGTGGCTGAGTGCGAGCGAAACGTCTACGTAATGCCGCGTGCTCGCCACGGAACGTGGCGCTCTTGCAGCGAGTGCGTGGCGAGCGCTGTCAAACGCAGTTGCACAACATTTCGTCGCGGAAATGTGGCGATTCCGTTACGAGTGGTCGCGGACACGCGGCGATTCCGTTACGAGTGGCGGCGTTACACTGGCGAAATAATCGCTCGTTCGTGGAGACTACCCGACGATAGAAGCGCGGACTCGCCGCGATTCTTTCGCTCGTGGAGGCGGCCCCTAAGCGTCAGTAGCCTAATGGCAGGGTGCAGACCGCGAACTCGAAAGGTCGTAGGTTCGAATCTCCCATTCGACTACTGTCGTGAACCACTTCTAACACAAGCATTTTAAGCTTACTAGAAGTAGTTTAAGGGAATGTTAGTAATGTTTAATAGCATTACTACTATTTAAAAAAAAATTGTTTTCTTTACAAGTAAACATACGGAACCGATGATATTTATAAATACTTATTATGTAAGATGAAAATCACTGCTACCACATATTAAAAGTATGTACCTACTAGATGTGGGCGCCGCGCCGGCGCGCCGCCGCCGTGTCAACCCCGCACGCCGCCGCCGCCGCCGTGCAGGGTGACACGGCGTGCGCTTGATTCCCCGCGCGGCGTGAGTTGAGTAAAGACGTTCGTTTGTTTTAGTGATTTTTCGATCTTAACTAAAAATTAAGGATGTTATTGAGGACATAAAGAAGAGGTTTATATTGGACGGCAAAGCGATTGTTGCAGTCACTGATGCTGGAAGTAATGTGAAACGAGCAGTTGGGTTCGCCAATTTGACTCACCATCTATGTCTAGGTCATAGGCTTCACAATCTGGTAACAGTCGACGGCATAAACTCGGTTCCAGAAATTGCACTACTAGTTCAGAAATGCAAAAAAGTCGTCAAGGCTGTGAGATATCGCGCCCCAGAGTTGCAACCTGAAGCCGAAAAGGTACAGCAACAACTAGTTTTTGGAGAAAATAGAAGGCGTTGTTGAAACCTTAGAAAGTGACGAGAGCGACCCTGTTCCTGAAGTTGATCTAATACTGGAAAATGCCGAAGAAACCGAAATTGAAGACAGGGCTTTACCATCAGGATCAGGACCCGAAAATTACAAACTTATTCAAACAATTAAAACCGCAACCCCAACTCGTTGGCACAACATTTTAGAAATGCTAGAAAGTGTAATCCACATATGCAACCGAGGACCAATAAATAATATGTTGAGGAAGATTAGCCAAGAAGAACTTAAAATAACTCAAAGTGAGTGGATTCCATTAGAAGATTTAGTAAAGTTTTTGAGAAGCTTTCGCGAAGCCGTCGAAATCTTGTCGTCTCAGAAAACATGCACAATGAATGTTGCTCTGGTGTTCCGTTCTGAGATTATGGACGTATTAAAGCTCAATCAAGATGATGAAGAACTAATATTGTTACTAGGTGTAACAATATTAGTTCTTCTAATAAAAGCAACATGATGAAAAAAATGAGTAAACGATTCCCAGTAACAAAGCCCATTGTCGCAGCAGCACTGTTGGATAACTGCTTTATGAGTATGACAGAAATTGATTTTTTTGTAGAAAACCCGCATATGGCCAGAACGTCCTTCCTTTCCTCGTACATCAGAGAAGTTATAAATATTAATAACTAAAATGCAGGCAATACAAGCACCAGCAATGTAACCGACACATCATTCTTGCATAAACTGTCGAGGAAACATAGTATTAGTACATGCCAAGGGATTCAAGGTAATCCAATAGAGCAAGAATGTTGGCGTTACATTGCTGGTGCTGATCCTACAGAACCAAAAGATGTTGATTTATTAACTTATTGGAACATTAAAAAAAGTATTTCCGAATATTGCTGCTCTTGCTAAAGCTCTACTCTGTGTGCCTGCCACAAGCACTCCAAGTGAGAGGGTATTCTCGGTAGCCGGGTTAACCGTTACGGCGAATAGATCTCACTTGAGCTCTATTTATTTTCTATAATCAACTATCTAATTAATTTAAGTTTTAAAAATTAAATTATTTTATTTATTTATTTATTATAACATGTTTTCTATTTCCATCAATAAAGTATAATGCTACAATTCGTGTAAATAATATATTCATTCATGATAATTATATAATATGTAAGATGGATAGTAATGAAATTAATTAGTATGTTAAAAAACTGTTTATGAGGTTATTAAAGCGTTCATTTGTAACATTGTTTTTTTTGTACCTAATCTAGACCAGGTATGTAATATACTGACATTTTCCTGTCGTCCACCTGAATTGGTGTTAATAAGCAGAGTGTTGAGATTTAATCCAACTAGGTGAAGAGGAGTAGATTGCATGTTTTATAAAAAAAAATACAGGAAAAGTAGCCACGCCGCCGGCGCTACGCAGCCGCCGATTGAAATTTGACAGCACGCCGCCGCCGACAAATTTTAAGGCGGCGCCCACATCTAGTACCTACATACTTGCATTAAATTTTAGGTTCACAATTATAATAGGCGAATAAGGGTTGTAAATAAATAAAATTTGAATTTGATCGCTCTTCGCTACATTACATCCTTTATAGAAACACTTCACATAGTATATTTTGTCATAAATATTATAATAGAAAAGTGTTTTTTATCGCTTATAAATCTATAGCAGTAGATTTATAAAAACTACTCAAAAATAATGATTACCTTTGAAGTTAAAAAAAATGTTTTATTTTTGAACTTACTGCCTTTTTACTTCGGAACCACTGAGATGTTTAAAAAATTTTTTATAATTATATTGCGGGTACTAATTATGAGTAATTTAAAGAAAAAAAAAACAAGTTAAAATCACTCAAGAGCACAGGTTGTTCCCTTATTCAGCTACGGCTTTATAATTTTTCTTTGGTGTTAACTCATTTGCACATTAGCGTCGAGTGGAATTCGAATTTGAACGCATAAATCATTAAGGTACGGTCGATTACTCAAGTAGCTCAAGCTGCTCAAGGACAAACTCTACGCATTGTGTAAATTATCCACAACTTTCTGTGCGCATGCACCAAAAACACATCGACTTGTCTTTCGTAATTGTCCTATAAAACAAGTCGCACATGAATTATTCTAGCACTCTAGCAGGGTTTCTGTTTATGGCCTTGTAAAATTAAATGGTGATTAATTTTAACTGATTTTTACTTATTTTGAATTTCCAAAAAGCACCCAAGGTTACGGAAGAAACCGAGGTGTTTCCTGATAACACAACTTCTGATTCGTTCTGCGCAAATGTAGAAATTATTTTATTCCTTTTCCTTCTTTGAAGTCTTTTACTTTCTATTAAAAAGTTAATTTTTTATATATCACGTATATATAAAAAATTAACTTAGTCATGCTGCAGCTATTATTAGTATAGTTGTAGTTTTACGAATGGGTCGGCTTGACCGGGGAAGGACCACGCTCTCACTTAATACCAGGGTTTCGTTTGGTGATTGTAGAAAACCGGAAACCCTATTTACTGGAAAAGAGGCATTCCTTCTTAGTCCTCACGAGTGACAACGCATCTACATTTTGATTATTTTATTGAGGATAGATGTAGATGTCTATAGGTCACAGCAACCACTTACCATCAGTTGGACTGTGTGCTCGTTTGTCACCCTATCCTATAAAAAAAACTCTTTGACAAGCTCAAATAAAAACCAAAATGGCGTCAAAATAGTTACATTAAACACTTCAACCCGTATTTTGCCACAGCCAGGGGTGTAATTTTTGTGGTAACAACCACTGAAGTATATTTTTATACAAATAAATAAAATTGAGAGTGTCTGTTTATATTGTAAAAATAACAGCTTTTTACTAAATGCATATAAAAGTATATGGTACTTCTAACAAAAACGCAATTTTTATAAATTTTATCTATCTGTTTGTTCCGACTAATCTCCGAAACGGCGGACCGATTTTAACGGGACTTTCACTGGCAGATAGCTGATGTTATAAGGAGTAACTTAAGCTACTTTTGTTTTAGAAAAAAAAATGGGATCCTCGCAAAAATAATAAAACCATAAAGTAATAAATTAAACGCGGACGAGGTCGCGGGGAACAGCTAGTCTTATTTAATAAAAAGGAATCGTCGGTTCACAATTTGAAGACAGCATTCATGCATACAAAAATGATATACAGTTGGAACCTCTTTCTTTTTTAAGTCGGCAAAAAATATAAGCACACTGTCGCCACAGATTTGATTTTAATACAATTAATAAAAACAGGACGTGACTCAGTGGTGAGCGTATTATATTGCTAAAACGTGAGCTCTAGGGTCGATTCTCAAACAAAGCCATCCATTAAATATTGTGACATATTTGTCAGTACAGTAAATAAGTATGAAACTGCAAAGTTTTTTTTTCTTTTCAGGTCGACGTTGACGAGTGCGAGGATATCGCGACCGAGTACAACATTAACTCCATGCCCACATTCGTATTCGTGAAGAGCTCTAAGAAGCTCGAGGAGTTCTCCGGGGCGAACGTCGACAAACTCAAGAACACAATCCTCAAGCACAAGTAAACCTGCGTGATGGGGTGTACGCCGTCCAAAACCTTGGATTTACCGCTGGCGGAAGATAATATTAATATAATAATAACATAAATATACGTTTCAAAAATTTTGTTTTGATATCTGTAGGTATACTATTTGTAAAAATAAAAAAATAATTGGGCGACATAACATACATAAGAAATTATTTATTGTGTTTACATTTGCCATTTTTGCATAATCTGTATTAAAATAGGTTAAACATGGCATGGAAACCAATAAACTATAGACATTCGATTTCGAAAAATCACTAAGTTGGTAATGATATTATAGAGGAAGTTGATAGATTAATATTACAAATTTATTTTATTGCTACACAAAAACAAAATATACGGATCAAAACTATTTTAAGGTGGTAAATTTGTATAAAAAAGTAAGTAATTGACTTTTCCCAGTGTTTCAGAGGTCAAATGTTATGAAAAAACTATAAAATACTTACAATTTTATATTTTTCTTATTTGGTAATGGATTTGAAGAAAGAAATGTTATTTTATGATGAAATGTTGAAATCTGTGATTGCCAAGTGTCTTATTAAGTATTTTGCATTTGTTCGAAAATTATTTGCACACAATTTGCATTTAGGCTGCGTACACACCCACAAACGGTATCGCCTTCGTATACTTTAATTTTTATATATTATGTTACAGAGTATTGTTACTACATTAAACTTTTGTGAAAATATCCTGCATTTTTATTGCTTTACAACAGGTATGGGCAACCTTTGACATGTTGAGGGCCAAACTTTAGCGTGCATTTTAAAGTAGTGACAATATTTTTTGCAATAGATATTAGACATGAAATAATACGACAATGTTATTATAATACAATTTATTAAAATAACAAAATGAAATTTAATAAAATGGTACATTATAATTAAATCGTTAAATTTGCAATTGTTACAAACTACGAAAATTAAATACACCGAAATCAATGAGACAGTTGAGCTTGAATTCGGGAAACTAATCCATCGATATTTGGATTAATTCCACTGATACAAAGACGTAAAGAATTTTCCAAATTATCGTCAGTCAGTCTTGTACGATGTGTTGATTTATTAACTTTCATCAATGAAAAGAACTGTTCGCATTTATAAGTACTGCCAAACACACAAATCAATCTTGCGAATTTTCTAAGCTGCGGAAAATTGTCTTTTTCTAGGTATTTTTTTGTAGAAAGCGCACAACTCTACGTCTTCAAATTTGGATTTTAGGAGTGAGTTAGAGTTTTCTTGAATCTTGATCAACTCCATTTGTAAGCGTATTGGAGCGTTTTGTACATTATTTTGTAGGAGTAGCAAATAAACTGAAACAGTCTTCCATGTTTTTGAAGTCGCTAAATCTGTTCGAAAATTGTTCCGACAGTAACTTGAGTTCTTCAGCATATTTAAGCCCTTTTTACTGAAAATGAGGCATTCCATCCTAGTCCTCACGGGTGAAAACGCATCTGCATTTTGATTTGTAATAGAGGATAGATGTAGATGTCTATGGGCCGCAGCAACCACTTACCATCAGGTGGACTATGTGCTCGATTGTCACCTTTATCCTATAAAAAAAAAATATTGAGCATAAGCAATATTTTCATACGCAGAGAGCGTGTTGAAATGGTAACTGTTACCAGACAGCATCTGTGACTCCCACAAGCGTAGTTTGATCTGAAACGCTTTTAAATGGGTGTACAAATCATTTACTAACTCTCCTTGTTTTTGAAGTTTCAAATTTAAATCATTCAAATAGCCTGTAAGATCGACCAGAAATGCCAAGTCACATCCATTCTGGGTCACTTAATTCAGATAGTAATAAATATGTATCTCATTTCTATCATAAATAGTATCTCATTTCTAAGCTCGTAAAACCGTTTCAACATGACTTCACAATAATATGTTACATCGTTATATTCAACTGATATTTCATTCAAAAACGTCTTGAACTGACGATGGTTAAGCCCTCGGGATCGAATAAAGTTGATGGTTTTTACTACCACATTCATAACACTCTGGAGTCGAATGGACTTAGAACACAAGTTCTGTTGGTGGAATACAATGAAGGACTATCAAATCATGTTATTGTACATTTAATTCTGTTGCTTTTTCATTCAAAATTCCGATGAAACCTTTACGTAAGCCGACCATAGAATGTGCACCATCAGTGCATACTCCAATTAATTTTGACCATGGCAAGCCAAAACTTGTGAATACCTTTTGAACTTCAATAAAATATCCTCTCATGTAGTGGTTCCTTTTAGCGGCTGTAAAGCAAGCAATTCCTCAGAACAGTGAACTCCTCATCAACACCTCCAATAAATATAGCCAGTTGAGCTGTGTCAGACAAATTGGTGTTCTCGCCTAATTCTATGAAAAATTATTCAAAACCAGCCATACGGTCAGTCAACGTTGTTTTTATATCATTAGCCATCATTTCTATACGTCAAACAACAGTTCGTCTTGACAAACTAATTTTTTCAAATTCATTTTTCTTTTCAGGACACAAAATACCGTAAACTTCTAACATACACTCCTTGATAAATTCTCCTTCGGCAAATGGTTTTAATGCCTTTGCCAATTTTGAGCTAAGTATAAAACTAGCTTTCACAACATTATCAAGTTGTGTTCTTTGTTTATGAAACATTTGTTGCCGTTTCAAAATTTGCGGTAAGCTTCTGGATTTTTTCTGTTCTTAATTGTCCTTTCAGTGAGTGCAGCGTTGAATTCTTTCACATTACACAGCAAGCAAATAGGCTTCATTACACAGCAAGCAAATAGGCTTACCATTGTGCAAGATAAAAAAGAATTCTTCAGTCCATTTTTCTTGAAACTGGCGACCCTCTTTATCTACTTTTCGTTTCTTTCCACCAAACATCATTTTTGTTTACTTTTCGTTCAATAAACTTAATAACAAACTTAGTAACCACTCAAGATGCACACAAAGTCACAAAGCAAGTTGACAGCTCGAGCAGTTCGCTAGGACATCGCTTGTCCAAGTTATCACCTCGGTAGCTTAAATAGAACTGAACTAACGTTTGGGCCATCCACCCGCTTATATAGGCAAAATGAAGGAATAATCTGGAATAAACTAGTTTAGAATAATTGAGAAGCAATAAATCTTTTGATGTGTCGCTCGTGAGGCGGCAAACCTCAAGGAATTTGATTGAGCAAGCCGAGTGGCATCGAATATCAAAATGTGAGGCGGCAAACATCAAAGGATTTGATGTTTGCCGCCTCACTGTCACTCCCGTGAGTACCTAATGTAATATTTTTTAATTGGGTTTTTTCAAAATGTCTCGTGGGCCGGATCCGGCCCGCGGGCCAGTTGTTGCCCATATATGGCTTACAACAACCCCCACTCCTAAAGAAAGGAGTTTCAGTAGGACAGATAGGACTGTACACAAAAAATAAGGTTGGCAAACGAGTACATAGTTAACCTGATGGCAACTAAATGCTGTTGCCAGAACATCTTCACCAATTCTCAATTAAGAATCAAAATACAAATACGTTATCGCTCCTGGCTGGAAGATATTCTGTTTCACATATCAATCGTTTGATGATGGTGGCATTCTTCAATGCAACCTTAGAGTAAAAAATAATAAATTAAAAATATAATATTTTTTTTATTTCGTTTTAAAAAGTACATGTCTTAAAAATTAGTAGATTGGAACCTCCATTTAAGCTAATAATGCATGTGTTTGGAGGGTCCGCTCTTCCATTACTATATCCATGTTACAAGGCAGTATGGATAAACTTAATCCATGTTAATGTTATATATTACTTCAATTCTAAAGTTAGGACAATCAATTGTTACGAACTAGTCTACTTATAAATACTGTGGGGTATGTGAGTGAAAGTTTATTTAGGTACTTGAAAATGTGTGTGCGCGTGTGAGAGTGTATGTGTGTTTGTCTCTGCTTGCATGAGTTAAAAAGTGTGTATGTGATTACAGTGTTTGAATCTGAACAAATCATGCTACACGATCCAGTAGCTTCTCAGTTTCGTCATATGTCTTATGTTGAATTCATTTTAACAAGTTTTTTACAGTTAAAATTAAAAATCCATTTATTTCTTTCTCAAGGCATACTAAATAATAAAGTAATTGGAGCCTCCTAGTAAGTATAAAAGAATACCTGTGTCAGGAGGCACCGCTCTTTCTAATAACATTAAATATTGAGATAAGCAGAGCAAGATTACCTATGATTTAGAGTAGGTGTGTGTTTGTGTACGTGTGATTGTAGGTGCTTAAAAGTGTAAGCATATTTATTATTATTATTTTATGTAATTTTAATTAATTCTATTCTATTCTGATAAAAATATATATTAGTTGTGATATGTTTTGTCGTATATATATATATATATATATATATACACATCTTTCATCGTTTATTTTATTATAAAGAAAGGCAGAACGCTATATAAATTGTCTGCTTGCAAATGTGGTTTTAGTTCTGTACGTCTGGGCAACCATGTTATAGTATATATAATAGCTTGCTTATGTCCACTAAGAATGCAACGTAATAATTGCTAAAACTTTTTTTTATCTTAGCGACCAGTCGAACAACGTCGGTACTTGTAGTGCTATCCAAGGCGTAGATACACTGAGAATTTCTTGACAGAAAAAATAACTGATTTTGGCCCAACTCGAGGTAACCCTGCATCACAAAATCAGCAGTCGAGCTTAGTTCATCATAAGACTTATCTGTTGGGAGACACTATTAACATTGAGCAGTGTTAAGGTCCACCAGCGATTCTCGGATAATTACTTTATCGTTGGCAAATCGAAGGTGAGTAATGTACTTTCCATTATTGTTGATATATTTCTGTGTGTAGGAACTCGTGTGTAGACTATAGTATTTTTGTTGTTGATATTACTAGCAATAAAACTTGATAATAGTTGTAAAGATGTTTATTTTAACCGCTTGATTTATAATAAAGTGCGCACAAATTGTGTAATTCGGAAACTACCTTGGAACGTATTAGAGCTAACTTG